GCCGAGCCCGGCGCGCTCCCCGCCGCACTCAGCGGCGATGCTCGTCCCTCCTGCCTTCCCCCGTCGCTGTGTCTCCCGAGGCTATTCATCCTCCATCACGATAGTAATTTGGAAGGTTTTCATCCTCTAAGGGCATTGCAGTTGTTGGCGAGGAGTGAAAATTTGAAAGCTCCTGCCTCCACTCAAGTTCCTCAGGACAAGTTATGTCACCCACAATGGAGGAGTTTTCCTGGGGGTTTTGCCAGATGCTTACAAAATCAGACCTTGCACACCCAGGCTGCCGTTCCAACTAGCTGTGGTTAGGAACTTTGGAAGAACAGGGGTGATTCCACATGTTCCTACAAGTTATATGCTGGTAAAAGAGATGATAAATGGCCTAAAACACCCATTTGGATGTGTCCATGGAGTTGCTTCTGTGTCTGTGTGGATTAGTTTTCTTAGGTAGTGAGATGCTTTATGAATTCTGTCACTTCTTTTAAACGCCTGCTATTTAGAAGCACTTTGTTCCTGGCCTTTTAGGTGCTGCCTAGCAGATCTTGTGTTTTTTAAGAAGTTATGACAGTGAAAATATCAAATTATCACTGGAATGTCAGTTCTTTTTGTTACTGTACAGCCTGTTCAGGCTGGGAGTTAAACTGACATGATGTTCATCATGTGGTTCATGAATCTGTTTGCAAAAGGAATATTTTTTTGAGAGTCCTGCAACTTAGCTGCCTCTGTCTTGCCTAAAGGAATTGTCTCTCAGCCCACTGGTTTGGCACTGCTGTTGCACTGGTCAAAACCAGTAAATGTGTGGATCTGATTGACTGGGACAATGTGTTTAACAAGGGCAGGAATTGAATATAACAGTATCTTGCAAAATAGCCCAATAGCAAGTAAATACTAGGCCTTTCCTTGTGATTTGAAAGTGGTGCTGAATAGAATGGGTTTGCTGCATCTTTTTCTGTCTAATTTGAATACTACATTGAAGCTTACAAAAGTAATTTTATCCTCTGAATGATCTGGGTGGTTTTAACACTGGCTCACTTGGAATAGTGAGTTCCACATGAAGATTTTTAGTGACAGAAGTTTACTGCAGTTATATGGTGACTTTTTAGTGTTCTAGTCCTTCCCTGAAAGTGCAAAAATGAGGTAAGATTCTGGTGCTTTTAAAATTCAGATCCATTTGGATATTGTTCCTTTAAACCTCTGGAACTCCTGGTTTTAGTATTTCCTTGTACAATACTCCACTGTACTTATTTTGCTCCGAAGAGGTACATGGGAGTGTCTTTCAGGGCCCACAGTGTGTTCAGAAGATTCTATTCTTTATTTTTCTCCAAGGTTTATGAAGAGACCTGTTTCTTTTGTCCACTCTACCCCTAATTTATGATGGGAAGGCTTTAAAGCTAATTAGGCATTGCTGTGTGCTCTGCAATCACACTCAGCCTGGCTGAGCTATACCTCCTGAAGACCAGGATAACATTGCTTTCCTCCTCGTGAACAAATTGTTTTGTTTTAGGCTGGCCTGTGCTTTCCCCTGTGTTTTGCCAGCCCAGTTGGCACAGCCTGTCCTGCTGTGCCTGTGGAGAAATGATCTCAGATGTAGCAGAATACTGATTTGAGTCTCAGCTTTGGGAATGATCTGAAAACCACTGGAAGGTGCAGGGCACTGATTGATGTGATGCCCATTTAGTCTCACCCTGTGTTAACGTGTTGCCTCCTTGGCCCTGCACGCAGCCTCACGTGGATGTTACATCTTTGAGGACGCTGAGTGCAGGGCATTTCTTCTATTCCTTCTGTTGTCTTGCTCCCCTTGGATCAGAGGTGAACTAGCTATTCTTCATCCTGTATTTTGAAGTCTTTATTGTACCTTTAATGGCATGTACTGCTTCAGTTGAAATGGAGCTGCAAGGACTTGTGTCAAAAGATTATTGATGGCCACAGTGTCAGGGGCATGCACTGCCCTTCCCGAGCAGTACTGGAAAGCAGAAGCAGACACGGTCACTGACATAAATCCTGCCATGTTTGCTCGCTCACTAGTGTAGATTTTGGCTGACAAAATATTTGTCCTTGAATAGCACCTGTTCTAGCCCTCCATGTTCAGCACACTGAACTATTTTGTTTGGATCCAAAGTCATTTGGTGCTATTGTAGCGCTCTCTGCCATTGCTGTTTCCCAGCCCAGCGTTGCACTTTAACAGGGATGAGTAACCCATATGTGTATAAGGGTGAACTGGTTTATACTCAAGTCTTGTGTATATCCTGGCAGTCTCTTTTCTCTGTGTCAATGTAGCAACTTTACAGTGTTAAACCTCTCTCTTCTAGAAGTTCTGTTTTCTTTGGCCTTTCTCTGAATATAATCTCCTTAGGTCAGGGTTTATTTTCTGTGGGACCCATAGCATACTTGTGGGACCTATAAAACAGTGAATTCCTGTTACACTGCAGTGTGGATGTGTTGGCAGTAAGATCAGTAGCAGAGACAGTAGTCTGTTTAAAATTGGAAACCTGTTGTCTTGATATACTTGGTTTGAGCCATCTGGATATGTTATTTGACTGTCCCATTATTTGTCATGTGGAGGAAGGAGCCAAGATCTTTGGTTGTTTGATGGACATTGAGAGACAGCTGAGAGATTAAATTTGCCTTTCACAGAGCATTCCAGCTCCCTGTGCTGTTAGGAAACCATATGCTCAGTACATCACCAGTTCCCATCAGAGGCAATACTGTCATAATCATTGTGTGTCTCTCATTGTGTGGGCTGAAGGCACACACTGACCAGGTGTGTCAGGGAGAGTAGCCTTTCTCTTCCTCCCCTTCTTTTCCCTCAACCCTTACTCATTGGCAATACCCTTCTGTAGTAGTTTCTTTTTTTTTCCCCTTCCCTAGAGAGAAAAATCTACACCTGTCCCTTGCCCACTGTGTCACACCTCTGGTTTGGCAGTGCACATCTTAACACCAGTGCTGTTTCCTGTCCTGAAATGCAAATTCTGCTCTGTGTTCTGGTATGAAAAATGAGGGCATATTCTCACCTTCAGGATTTAGCAAAAAGGGCAGCTCTTTTTGCAGTGCTGGAAACTTCTCTGTTGTTCCTTAGGTTTGTCCTGATTCCTCAGTCCTCCTAGAGTGGCTTGCTGCCCAGGTGTGCCTCACTTCTGTCACATCCTCTGTCTCAGGTGTTTGGTTTACTTTGTGATCAGATGGAGCAGCTTGTTTGTCTAGAACAGAAGCTGTGGTGTTGCAGCTCTTCCTGGGAGCTTCATCAATAATGCAGGTAGAAACATGGAGAGATTTAAAACTGAAAGAGGCTTAGCTAATTGCCTTTGTCACTTGCCAGATTTGGGTAAAAGCTTATGATCTGAGTCAATAAAAATTATACTCTTGGCAGGTGCCTTATGAAGTGTGAAATTCTTTGCAGTATGTGGGCAAGGGGAAGCCTGGACTGCCCAAAGCCTCTGTTTAGCACAGGAACTACACAGCAGGTTTTATTTCTTGAAATGTGCCATAGAACAGCTTTAATGTGCTAAACAGCTTTCCTGTATACATGAAAAGCTAGATGAAAATGAAGAGCATTAGGATGATGTCATGCATATTTCCCAAGAGGAGTGCAGGAGGGATTTGAATGTAGAGGAGATGATATGGCCCCAAATCCTGGTCTGTCCCTGTGCACTGCTCCACTGCCTGCTCCAGCAGCACCCTGTGCCTCACACTCCTTTCTGGGATGCTTATACTCATTTTCCCCAGCCCATAGCCCTGCCTCTGTCCGGCAGCATAGCCTGGTCTATTTATATTACAGATCTATTTATATTGTTTCAGGATAACTTTCATCATTGTTCCAGGTCCGTCTGCAAAGAGAGACAGAGGCTTGCCATGTAGCTGCAGACATTAGAAAACAGGGGAAAAAATGCTTCATCATCTGTAAATGTTTTCCCTCTTGGCTTGTGGGGCTGGTGCTTCATTTAACTTCAACCAAATGTCAGATAAAGGGGGAGTGGTTGAAAAGAAATTGTTCTTAATTTATGGAGTTTCTTGTAAACAAGAATTGGCTCACAGTTCCCCTTCTCTTCCTGCTTATGTTTTCCTCTTGTGCTCCTCGGGGAGAACTTCCCCTTATCTCTCTGCTCTGAAGACATTGTCTTTCAACCCTTTTTCCTTCCTACTTGAGTTTTGCAACTTAGGTCTGGTGGTGCCTTATCTGTTTTCTTTGTTAGCCTTTTCTGTCTCTCAAAGAGCTAAGAAAACAGAACCTTTTGAAGATGAATCTTTTCAGCAGGGCCAGCGATACAGATCATAAGTCAGACTTTTGTGGTACAAGCACAAAGCCACTGATCAGAGGAGTGGTTTTGAAAGTTGGCATTGGAGCAGATCTTCAAAAACTTAATTTCTGAGCTTCCTCCCTGGATCATTAGAAAACTACTACCCTGGATTTAAACACTGCACTTGCATTTTTGTTTGAATGTGTGTTTTGGGTGGAAGTTGTTAGTTTCAAACCGCAAGGTTTAGTGAGACATATGTCCTCAAATGCCTTGTGGAATAGTTGTCTCCAGTTCCACAATGTCACGTTGCACAGATGCCATTCATTGTCATGGAATGCAGGTATCCATGGAGTGGAAATCTGTAGCTGTGGAGTACCCCTCGACTGCGACCCAGGGTTGTGGGCAGTGCTGTGCTGAAGTGCAACACGTGGGTGTGAGCTGTTGCACAGCCTGAGCCCTGGTGCTGTGAGCAGGCAGGGCTCCTCAGAAAGTCACATTTTTTAAGCATGTTTCTAGCTCTACAGGCTTGAAACAGAAGAGGGTAATCTTAAATTTCAAGATAAGAATGCTGCTCTGAGATTACTTTTACTTTTAGATTAAGGTTTATAATTTTGTAATGACTCCCTCCTAAAAAACCCAAACATTTGCCAGTGGAAGCATTAGCCTCCATGTGAATAAAGCTGCTGACAGTGTGTTTCCTGTCCTTACCTTTCACTGGTTCCCAGGATGCTGCTGCAGTGGATGATTTGGGAGAGGAGCATACTGGCATCTGAGGAAAAGTGAAGAAGATAACAAAGAATAACTTTATAGGACAGAAAGAGAGAAAACTATGACTTCTAGAACACAGAGAGGTTAACTAGGAGACAGAGTTGTAATATGTTGTTAAAGCATGAGCAGATTTAGTACCCAGGCTTCTCTTCTGCACTGCATTGCTTTCTCTTGAGGACCAGAACTGAACTAGTGTCTGCACTAGCTGCTGTTCCCTGAATTCAGATTTATTGGTTGCTTTGATCTGAGAATTCAGCAGACTCAAAAGTTTTATTTCTTGTGGTTGACTGTTCCCAAGACTTCCAGTGGTTCCAATTTTATTGCAAGTTTCACAATATTTGATACTTTCCATAAAAGTTCAGTTCCAGAGTTCTAGGATTGCAAGAAGATCCTTATTTAAAATTGCTCATGCACTTCAAAGTTGGAGGCAGGGAGCATGTGGAAGCACAAACATTTGAAACAAGAAAACCAAAAAGGCAAATCATGGCACTTTTTATTATTATTCTTAATGTGTTCTGATTATTTGCTGAGTGTCTAACTCGTGATTTATTTGCTGTTTGGTACTGAAAATTGACATGGTCAGTGGTGCGTTTTGTTGGTTTTTCTTTTGTGACACCCAGTAGCTCGTTATCCATTCTGTAAAAAGGGGCCTCCAGTGTCCTTGACCAGCTGTTTCTTACGTATACTGACTTTTTTGCATAGTGTGAAAATGTTTGATGCTTCAGCCAGGAGGGCACTGTCAGGGTCGCAGATAATATGTACACTGTTCAGCCTCAGGGTTTTTTGGTTTGTGGATTTGGGCCTGGTTTTGGTTGTAGGTTTTTTTTGTTTGGGTTTTCTTGTGGTGTTTTTTTTATTTGTTTGGTTGGTTGGTTGGTTTTGTTTGATTTTGTTTCAGCTTGTGTTACCTGACCCCTTCTAGTCCTGCTCATGTTGAGCTATAAACATGAAGATAACCAGAGTACTCCTGCCGAGAACATGGTTGTGTGGATGTTTGTTAGGGACTTGTTATTAACCAAGCAAATTAATACAACAGAAGTAGTGAGTGGCTGGAAGTCACTATGTTGTGTATCACCACTCAGTGCTCAGACAGTAAGAAACTCCTCTGAGCAGTCTCAGCAAATGAACAGAAGCAGAAAGCTGTATTGTTAGAGATGGAAAAATGCCCTGTGTCAGGTATTCATCTGGGGAGCCAAACCGCTGAGGTGGTGCTTCTCCCCCACAGTCCTCTTCATTTCAGGGTTTGATTTTGGCAGTTCATCCTTGTGATGGTGACCCTTACCCTCACCTCTTCATGTCGTGTTTCAACAGATCTGGTGGCTGGATCCTGAGCTGACGTACGGCAATGCCAAGCCATTTGTGTTCACGCAGGGCCACTCGGTGTGTAACCGATCCTTCTTCCCCTGCTTTGACACACCTGCAGTGAAATGCACCTACTCAGCCACTGTCAAGGTAAGGGACTGAATGGCTCTTAGTTGCTGTTAACTTGTGAAAGCACAGTGACATCATGTCTGTACACATAATAAAAGTATTGATTGTGATTCAGTGTTATAAAAAATACTGGATTTTTTAGATCCCATTCTGATTCTTGAGCCAGAATTGAGGTACTGCCACAAAGGCAGCTCTGCTGCCTGTCCTGCTTGGGTCTTGGCTTCCCTGTACTCAATGCTGAAAGAGTAATTGTGAAATGGGTAATATGTGAGAGAATTTGGCTGGTCACTTCCACTAGTTGATGATAATACTCAACTGCATTTTACCAATTCTTGAAAGAAAAATCCCAGAGTTTTTTGAAATCAGCATCAAATAATGTTGCACCTCATCTAGATGCAATAATTTGATATGTGGGTGCTTTTGGGGCAGCTGGCATACAGGAGGAGTAATATTTTTGGTTGGTATGTTTTCACAGGCTGGGCAGATTGTGGTATAAGAACCTCACAGCAATCTTACATTTTGTGTGATCCAAATGATTGTTTTGATGTACTTCCTAAGGCATAGATGAAAATAAACAGAGATCTGTGGTGTGGTCATTCAGCTGTGATCATCTGGTTAGCTGATGTGTATGATGTTGGTCTTCCAGGCTCCAGCAGGCATACAGGTGTTGATGAGTGCCACACAAAGTACTTACTTAGAAGAGGAAGGTGTATATCAATTTTACATGGAATATCCAGTTCCTGCCTACCTAGTGGCCTTGGTGGCAGGAGACCTTATACATGCAGACATAGGTCCAAGGTAAGGTTTGCAGAGAGCTGATTGTGCATTTTGTGTCTTTGTACAGTGCTTTGTGTTACAAGGAGTAAAGACATTGAGTCAGTGATAAGGGAACAGCTGGGACCATGAGCTGTGAATGTTGGGAGGGTTTGAGGTGTAGTTGGGTGTAAAGAAGTTCATGGCACTGCACTGGCAAAGATATGTTCCTCTTTCATGGGTGTTACCCATTGTCCCCTGCAGTCATTGCAGCTGCTTTCTCATTGCCTTGTTGAAGGGATCTTTGATTGCTTCCTGTCATGTGCCGTGGAGTGTTAGCCTAGGAGGGCCTGAATCTGATGGGAGGCCCCTCACACTGTTACCATACATGGAAGTGTGGTGAGCAGTCAGGCTATTTTTCTAAGAGATAATTCAGTTTGCTGAAGTATCACCTGATGTTTTCTGTTTTCTGACAGGAGCAGAGTGTGGGCAGAGCCTTGCCTGCTGCCAACAGCCATCAGCAAGCTTTCTGGCATTGTTGAACGCTGGTTGACTGCTGCAGAGAGTCTGTATGGCCCCTATATATGGGGGAGGTGAGTTTAATCAGTCTCCCAGGAATGTGTAAGGGGAACGAAATAAAACAGTATTGAGAAATGGTCATGCTTTTTCCCTATGCAATAGCAGGGCAAATGAGCAACTCAGCTGGCAGCATTGTAGTAGTTGGAAACAAACTCTGAAGTTTTGTCTCCACAAGTGGCAGGGGGGACCTATTTCTAAACAGTGCATCTTTCCTGAGCAGTGAAGCTCTTTCTATTACAGTGTTTTGTGATGCAAGTGCAGCATTGGGCCAGACACCATTTAAAATTTATGTCTGTTTTAATTATTTATGTCTGCATATGGTACTTGACATATGATTGTGGTATGCCTGAGGGTACTGAAAACCTCCAGTACAGACTCATTGAGAGTCCAGGTCCCCAAAACCAACATTAACAGTGCTTGAACTAAGCTTGACTACATATTAAAAAAGAATGTTTTTGAGAGAATACTTTCATTCTTTGGATGGGAGAAAATATTTGTAAATGCTTCCTATGCATCTGTAGTTAGCAGGAAGATCTCATTGTTGTTAACTTATAAAACATTGCTTGAAATTATCTGAGAACATGACCCAGTGTGCCAGTGCTGATCATTGGAAGAGAGATTTAGAAAACAAAACAAATATTATTGTGTTCTGAAGCAGACAGATTAGAGTTATTTTGCTGACGCTGCATGTAGACCAAATCAATGAATTCATTGATAGCTTCCCAGCCTCTCTCTTTCCTGGGAACCTCTGGGGAGTTGACACTGTGCGTGGTAGTTTATGTAGTATAAACTTAGTGGTTGTGGCTCTCAGATACACAACTTGTGATGAGTTGTGTTTGTGAAGGGAGCACCGTGCTTCTGGGAAGTGCTGGATCTGCTGCACACAAAAAGATGTGAGCAGGTCCTTGGCATGGAGAATAAATTCTGATCAGAAGAATTAGGCACAGCTGGTCTACAAAGTTTGTTCCTGAAGTCACAAAAAGGTGTCAGAAGAGCCTGCCCTAAAGAAAGAAGTATGTTATTGTGTGTCTTCTGAAATAGCTGCAATTTACTTATCTCCTTCTCATCTCTGCTTTCTTCTCTCTCCCTAATTTTAGATATGACATTGTTTTTCTTCCTCCATCCTTCCCTATTGTTGCCATGGAAAACCCATGCCTGACCTTCATCATCTCTTCCATTCTGGAGAGTGATGAGTTTTTGATCATTGATGTCATTCATGAAGTTGCCCACAGCTGGTTTGGAAACGCTGTCACCAATGCCACATGGGAGGAGATGTGGCTGAGCGAGGGACTGGCCACCTACGCGCAGCGCCGCATCACCACTGAGACCTACGGTACAGCTGCAGAAACGTTTCTCCTTATGCTCCATCTTACCATAACTGGCTGCATAGAATATCTGCCCCTATGGAGCTGTTTTTCTGGGTGTTTCTTTTTTTATTTCTGGAACCCACACCCCCCATCTACACCCACAGAGTCCCAAACTTTGCGTTGAAAATCTTAAGTGCTTAGAATTTGACGTTGCCTTGGCTTTGGTGGAATCAATACCTGTTTTGGTAACAGGGGCTTTGAGTGAGATGTGTTAGCACAGCACTGTAGGGACTTTGGAATTCCTGTTGGGTACCAGGCAGGTGTTTGTATGTCAGAGCAAGGTGAGGATGCTTCAGAGAAAGATGTAAGAAGTCTTGTCATGGCAGTGCTGTGAAATTACTGTCCTCTGAGCAAATGTCTTTCTAATCCTGATCAGTTTGTAGCTGCCTGCTGTTAGAAAGAATGATGGCTATAGCACTAAAAAAAGTAGTGCACATTTATGTAGCTTTCTGTGTATCTGCAGGAGGCTTCTTGCAGGATTGTACAGCCATGTCTTTGCTTTTGTCAGTGAATTTCACAGGTCAGTTGTATGGTACTGTCTTCAGAATATAAAAGTAATAAATCATTCCTCTTGCTTTTCAGTTTAATTGGGTTTTTATTGAAGTGAGTCATGGGAACAGATGCTTTTCTAGTTTGCTCTGTTATGTTCTTAAAAGGCAGTTCCATGTGTTTTCTCACATGTCTGCTGTAAACAGTCTTGGAAAAATTACTGGAAATCTTAGCAGCGAGAGTGTTTAGAAGAATGCTTTTATTTTTATTCATGCACATTGTTTTTGGAGATGAACTGATGGTAATTAAGTTTAGGGCAAGAAGTGCTCTGAGCTTCTATGGAGATGTTACATTGCATATTATGTCTTTGAAAGCTGAGTAATGTTGAGTAATTCTTAGTGGTTTGTCGTAAGTCACATTATAAATGGCATGAGTGGATATCGGTAGGTCAGAAGATATCAACCTGTTCTCTATCCCATCTTTGTCCCTCTGACACAGAACAAGATCCTTGCTGATTTGGGTCTGTTCTCTTGAAATTTAGAACTGGTTGTTTCAAGAAGCAATTGTTAGGAAACTAAGAAATGCCTTTCCCTGTGCCATTCTCGTCAGTTCTTTTTCCATTCTGTTTTGTTTCTAAGACAAACCTCTGATCTAAATCTTGCCGTTTCTGACATAATTTCTGGAGTATCTTCTGTTGTTAATAAAAAGGCGTCTTTGTAAAGACACTGTTTACAGAAATTTGAGTCCACTGACTACCACACCTCTTGCTTAATCCTCCTCTCTGTAGCTTGAAGTAATTGCCTTTAACACTAGCTGTCCTGGTTCTTTCTTTCCCCTGGGAAGCACATTGACCCCTTTCTCTGCCTGTACAGGTTTTCCTATCTTCCAAAGACATCCTTGTTCTTAATTTGCATTCTGCATATATCATATTCTGGTGTTACATACATTGAGACTCTGAGATTGTATCTACTCAACAAACCCTATTGTTCCAGTTGAAAACTTAGCAAAGGAGGCTAAAATGTTAATAGTTATGGGTGTTAAGTATCTTCTGAATCCCAAAATCCATTTTCTGCAGCTTTTAACATCTGCAAAGGCATAGGAAAGGTCTCTTGACTTGCCAGTGTAACACAGCCAGTTTGGCTTGAAAGCATGGAATGCCCTACACTGCAGTTTGGGAGAAGAGAAGGAATAGCCTACCCAGTTGCAGCTGTAGAAAGTCCTAATGAGTGGAAGGTGAAAAAATAAATAACAAAATATGGGTGGGATGCTCGATAAAGCTTAAAGATACACAGAATCAATAATACACCAACCATATCTAATCCTTTTCTCTTTTCACCCAAGAGGTGATATTTGCTTACCAATCTCCTTGGCTCTGAATATGGAATTGTATCTACTATTCTACCAGAGACCTTGAGTTTCTGTAGCACTTGATTGCTCCCTGAAAGTTACCTGTACAATACTTACTTTAGTCCTGCTCTGTTTATCTTGCAAGAACTGATAAGCTGATGTCAAGGATGTAAACTTCTGCAATTTTCATGCTGCTTTGTTTTTCATTTCAGGCTGCTGCATAATCAGAGCGAGGAAATGCACTGGGTTAGGTTCTGATTCTATTACAAATCACAAGGATGTTTTACACTCAAGTTTCTCTGCCATTATATTGCTGTGATTCTGTCTCACTGTTGTGTCATTTGCACCTGCAGCAGCTTTTACTTTGTACCTGTGCCAGTCCTGCAGAGGTCATCTTTTGCTGGTCGTTTTCCCACAACTAACATGTCACTTTCTGGGGCAGGAGCTGCCTTCACATGTTTGGAGACTGCATTCCGCCTCGATGCTCTCCACAGACAGATGAAGCTCCTTGGAGAAGACAACCCGGTCAGCAAGCTTCAGGTTAAACTGGAGCCAGGTATTGCTTTTGCTGAGGCTGCTGTAGACAGAGTTATACACATCTGTACATCAATGCTGGAATATAGACCAAAAAAAGACTAATTTTTACATATTCTTTATAAAAGAGTTAAAAAAGAAATACTGATTTCTAAACCAGTCTAAAAGGAAGCAAGTTAACTCGGCCTTGAAGTTTTCTTTGAAGTTGGATAACTTGTCTTTGTATATATTGTTCTGT